TCCTTCACTCCTCCCTTCCTGCCTTCCTTCCTTCCTGCCTTCCTTCCTTCCTTCGTAGTCCTGTCCACACCATGCTTAGGTGAACCATCACTGCAAAGTGTGTTCAGTGCCATGTCAACCAGAGGGGTGGCAAACCTGGGCCAAGGGGGAGAGGAGCTAAGGGTGGCCTAGGGTTGGGCTCCCTCCTCACCAAGTCCAGCCCCACACTGCCAGCTTCCGGGTGCCACCTGGGATCAGTGGGGGTGACTGCTGATGGGACTGAAGGGAAAAAGGGACATAGCAAGCTTTAATATTAGTAAGTATGGCTGGCAAGCTTACTTAGGAAATATTAGGGGACACCTGAGTAAGCACAGAAGAGGGACCCCGCCTCTGATCTGAGACAACAGAGCTAACCCTGCTACTTCTGCCTGTGTGAACCTGCCTGCCCCCTCCCTCTTTTCTGAAAGCAGTATCTTCTCTCTTGAACAGTGACCACTACTCAAACCTGCTTAGACAGCAAGTTCTAACTAGAAACCTGCAAATCTCATCTTCAGCAAAACTCACTTAGCTCTGGGAAAAAAATCACCTCCAGGAAAGTCATGAAGGAACCACCCTTGAATGGTCATTTAGACAAGATTGATGATGTCTATCTCTGTAAAGACCATGAAATACTTCTGACCGAGGCTGGGTCTCTTTAAGGAACAGCTGGAGGCTACAGGTGAGTGCTAATTAGAGTTTTTGCCCTTATCTCCAAGGATAGAATTTCTCACTGGGGAAGGGTGAGCTCCCTTAACAGGATCTGGGATCACCATGTGAAGGCTACCTCCAAACCTCTATAGAAATACTGGATGATGGACATGAAGGGGTAGGACCTGGCCTGACAGAAGTCACACTGACACCTGTCCACTGAGGAGTTGTCAAGGACTCAGGAAGAACACTGGTTCCTAACTAGTTCTCTAGCCTGGGCAGGTAGGTCCAACGATACCCAAGTGCCAGTCCTGATGGGAGGCTGGGAGGTGTCAGTCCCTGGGCCTTGGGTAGCAGTCCCAAACAGGGCAGGGCAGAGAGGCTTTTGAGAGGACTAGAGGCATATGGTTTTGACCTCAGAAGGGCCTGTGGTGACGACCAGAGACCAAGGCAAGGCCAGATCACAGAGTCTTTCTAGGTTATAGAAGAACCAGGAGGGCTTGCCATGCAATCACGAGAATTCAAGTTTGGGTCCCTCGCACCAACATTAAAAAGCCAGGCATACATCTATAATCCCAGCACTGGGGTTATAGGGCAATGGGAGAGACAGGTGGACCCCAGGGCCTGTGAGGCCCTATCTCAAAATGTGAGCTGGAGTGTCACAGAGGAAGATATCCAAGTGCCAAACTCTGGCCTCTACATGTACCCACATAGTTGAGACACCTGCACACACCATGGTGTGGTTGGGGGTGGTGGAGAGGGATCGAGAGGTTGAGATGTGGCTCAGTAAACTCCTTGCCAGTTGAGGACTATGGATCACCAAAATCCATGCAAAAAAAGTCATAGGCCAGGCCACCTGGCCTATGAGAGATGGATGTAGGACATTGCTGAGTAGGCTGATCAGCTAATCTGTGAGATCAGGGTTCAACTGACTTTCTCTTAACAGATGAAGGAGAGAGAGATCAATGAAAATACCTGATGCCAACTTGAGGCTTCCACACACATGTGCACACAAACGCATGCACACTTGAAACACACACAGAGACAAGTTGCATACACACAAAACAAACAAAGCTCCCTTTGCCTTAATCTTCGAAGAAAAATAAACCAAAGTTCAAAGCCAGCCTCAGTTACATGGCAAGTTTGAGGATAGCCAGGGGTTAGAAAAGACCAACTTCCAGGGTTAGAGTTTCTGATACCTCCTATTGCCTCTGTGGGGACAGAGCAAACCAGAATCTTACCCCAAATTAGTTTAGGTGACACTCACAATACTTATAAATGATTGGGAACTGGTCTCAGAATCAGGGGACTGCTGAAAACCATGAGGAATAAAAACCCCAACATGTCCCAAATCGTATTACAAGAGCTGGATGAGGCTAGGGGAAATCAGAAAAAGGGAAAGTGAATTGGGTAACAGCTTAGGGAAAACCCACTATTTTTACATTCCTGAATGAGTATTGAAATCTTGACTCCGATTTCAATGTGGAGATGGCAGGCACTTATCATCATGCCTTATTTACATATAAATCCCAGAACTAAAAACCTAGCCAATCCAGTAGCAGGAAGCAACAAGCTCTTTTTATAGAGTGCCCTCCTCTCCTGTAACTCCTCTAATCAGTATAATCCTGCTTCTCTTATCTATAGATAGGGTAGGTTCCTTTTTGACAATTTAAGTTAGTCTCTAGTCTTCAAACTCCCTAAGTAGCTAAGGATGGCCTTGAACTGACCCCCCCCCCATCCCCACCACCCAGTGCTGGCATTGCTGGAAT